GACAGAAGATGGGATCAGATTGGGCTTTGAGAGGAAATTGGCATCCCATATAATGACGATTTTATTAGATTCAATTATTATATTATTATTTAAAGATTGAAAATTAAACACCATACATAATACGTTTTTATTTGACTCATAATTTCATGTAAATTTAGCTTACTGTTTTTTTTTTTTTTTTTTTTTTTGAAACATGATATGAATCTGAAAATCTTCATAAACATTGGTCGTAAGATATAATTTATTCCATGGAACCAATGGGAAACATAGAGCAAAGTATATAAAATATTAACTGATATAGTAGCAGATTTTTTTATTTTTTTATTTTTTTTGAAACATGATATGAATCTGAAAATCTTCATGAACATTGGTCGTAAGATATAATTTATTCCATGGAATCAATGGGAAATATAGAGCAAAAATATAACATATTGAATGATTTAGTAGCAGAATAAAAGCAAAAACTAAGTAACTAAAAACATCCTTAATATACGATTATCAAAACTTCAAAAAAAAAAAAAACCACATCCAATTGAACATAAAAATAGAAAACAATAAAGCATTCATAGCATGTCCATGAGACAAAAAAGGTACTCTCATAAAGTACTCATCAAAACCATTAAAAGTGTTTTCTGATTCTCTAATATAAGTTTTCAACGATTGGCCTTGGCAACTCTCTCAATTTCATCCTTCTTCTTGATGGCATAACTGAAAAATACAAGGGCATAAAATCAATTTAACACAGCAAAAAATATTTGACATACAGACAAGAGAAACTAGTAATCTAGGCCTTGATTACCTATTTGATGAACCCTTTGCAGCATTGATAAGTTCATCAGCAAGGCACTCTGCAATTGTCTTGATGTTCCTGAATGCTGATTCACGAGCACCAGTAGTGAGAAGATAGATGGCCTGGTTCACACGTCTCAATGGAGAAATATCCACAGCCTGACGTCTAACAACACCAGCTGATCCAATTCTGGTAGCATCTTCACGAGGACCACTGTAGTAATTTATACAGAAGAAAAGAACATTAGATCAGTATAGTGTCAAGGACAAGCATCTAAAAGGGCAAACTGAGAAATTCACAACCACCCAATTATCCATATAAGAAATGCAATTAAGATAAACTACAAAACTGTAAGCCAGCTTCCTTACCTGTTGATGACAGCTTCAACAATAACTTGGATTGGGTTCTGGTCAGTCAACAGGTGAATAATTTCCATGGCATGCTTCACAATCCTAACAGCCATCAATTTCTTACCATTGTTTCTTCCATGCATCATGAGAGAGTTTGTAAGCCTCTCCACAATTGGGCACTGGGCCTTCCTGAAACGTTTCACTGAGTACCTACCAGCAGTGTGTGGCACATAGGTGGCATGCTTGGCAGCTTGGACTCCAATGTAATCACTCAATGAAATGTCAACAACCTACATGGAAACACCAAACAGATACATCAATGAAAATCAATTGCTAGTTATAAAATCATACAGTCCAAATTACAATGAAAATCAATTGCTAGTTATAAAATCATACAGTCCAAATTACAATGAAAAGCCTGTCATTCATATCTTTACAGAGCAAGATTCGAAAGTGGGTTCACATGTTAAGCAAGCAAGTTCTTCACATTAATCCAANAAATATTTGACATACAGACAAGAGAAACTAGTAATCTAGGCCTTGATTACCTATTTGATGAACCCTTTGCAGCATTGATAAGTTCATCAGCAAGGCACTCTGCAATTGTCTTGATGTTCCTGAATGCTGATTCACGAGCACCAGTAGTGAGAAGATAGATGGCCTGGTTCACACGTCTCAATGGAGAAATATCCACAGCCTGACGTCTAACAACACCAGCTGATCCAATTCTGGTAGCATCTTCACGAGGACCACTGTAGTAATGGAAACAGAAGAAAAGAACATTAGATCAGTATAGTGACAAGGACAAGCATCTAAAAGGGCAAACTGAGAAATTCACAACCACCCAATTATCCATACAAGAAATGCAATTAAGATAAACTACAAAACTGTAAGCCAGCTTCCCTACCTGTTGATGACAGCATCAACAATAACTTGGATTGGGTTCTGGTCAGTCAACAGGTGAATAATTTCCATGGCATGCTTCACAATCCTAACAGCCATCAATTTCTTACCATTGTTTCTTCCATGCATCATGAGAGAGTTTGTAAGCCTCTCCACAATTGGGCACTGGGCCTTCCTGAAACGTTTCACGGAGTACCTACCAGCAGTGTGTGGCACATAGGTGGCATGCTTGGCAGCTTGGACTCCAATGTAATCACTCAATGAAATGTCAACAACCTACATGGAAACACCAAACAGATACATCAATGAAAATCAATTGCTAGTTATAAAATCATACAGTCCAAATTACAATGAAAATCAATTGCTAGTTATAAAATCATACAGTCCAAATTACAATGAAAAGCCTGTCATTCATATCTTTACAGAGCAAGATTCGAAAGTGGGTTCACATGTTAAGCAAGCAAGTTCTTCACATTAATCCAAGATGGTATCTGAATACAATGATTTCATTACTGTTATTGATAGAAGACCCAAAACGATACTGTCAATCTAACAAATGAAAAGACCTTGAATACCGTAATATCACTAGTCATCCAGATATAGTCTAAATTCAACAACTATTCTTTACATTTATTCAAAAAGCCAAGAAAATTCATTAGCAAATCAGTAAATAATCAACATAACCTAGTGATTATTCTAAAAACATGAAGCTTCAAACAAACATTAGTTTATTTTACAACTTTCATTTAACCTCTTTCACAGTCCTTCATACGTATTTGGTCAAAAACAAATCTGCCAGTGCACGAGATCCTTAACAAGGGCAATAAGACTATTCAATCAAAAACAGTTCTTAAAAACATCATAAAAACAGAACACCTCGACTCTACAATTCGAAATCACAATCCTCTTCACAACAAAACTCGTGAAACCAAAACAGATCGACGAAACATCACAAAACAATGCAAAACAGATTCTCTACAAATCGTAACTGAGAAGAGATTAATTTTGAAACCTGAACGTCGTCGAAAGTCCAGCGGTTGAAGAGCTTCACATCGTACTGAGGCTGATTTGAGTCCAGAGACGGTTGCACCGGTGCCACAGCTGTTGCCGCCATCTTACCTGTAAACAAAACGACACAAAACTCAGTCCAATGAGAGAGAAAGTGACGGAGATTGATATACAGAAGGAGAGAAAGTGGCGGAGAGAGAAGAGACCTGCAGTCGTAGAGCTCTCGTGACGGAGTCTGAGGTAGAGGATTAGGATTTTTGAAGGTGCAGCTGCTCACAATGAACCTCTCACTGGCGAATGGAAAATGAAGGACTTAGGGTTTCGGCTTTTTTTAGGCGTGTTCAAGAGTCACTAGGGTTTGGGTATGATTGGGTGTGCTCGGGTACATGCTGACTATTTAGTGCTTTATTCATTGGTCGACACGAGGATTTTACAGAGACCTAGTTATATCAGGCATTGCCTTAATAAATGTTATTATAATTAATAATATTCACTTAATGATTTTCAATAATTTAATTTAACATCTAGAACATATAAATAGGAAATTATTTGTGATTACTATAATCAGGGTTTTTTTTTTTTTTAATTAAATATAAGGAGATTATTTTTACATGCCCTAACTTTTATGTCAATTTTTACAAATGTTACAGTTGATATTACAAATTACGTGGTAATTTATTTTTTAAATAATATATACTATTAATATAAAATTATTTTATAAAAACATAATTGGAGAATTAATGTAACGCCCACATCAAGGTACGTAGCTTAACTTATGCCCTTATACCCTTAATTGATTTTTGTTAAAGTTATTTTAAAAAAAGTATGAAGAAAATGCCTTAAAATTTCATTAGAAGTAAAATGGTCTTTTTACTCATAATTAGTTGAAAAAGTGGGGAGTGAAAAGAGATAGAATAACATGGAGAAGTTAATAAAAATAAGAGCATTTTGATAATTGATCAAAGGACATAGATGAAATTTTAAAGAAAGTGCAAGGGCAAAATAGGAAACTATATATAATAATATGTTATATCAAAAATTGAAGAATGAAACCCTAGCCATTCTACATCCATTTTCACGCCACCTTCACCTTCATATTCTCTCAATTTCTTCAATTCTTTTTCAAGGGAAATTCATAGATTTTGGGTACTTTTTAATGGATTTTCAATCCCAAGTATCCTTAGGTAAGATCCTTGCACCAAGAAGTGAGTTTTAATTTTTAAAGTGTTGAATTTTGATAATTTGTGTTCATAGGATTTAAGAGAAAGTGAGTTGGATCAAAGAAGATTTTCAAAGTGTTGGATTGCTCACATATAAGATAAGTAAATCCTACCCTAAGTATGATTTAAGTAATATTGTGTGGAGAATTCCTTTTATGCATATATGTGTTTTATATGAAGAATTGTTGATGGATTTAGTATTGAATGATAATTATAACTTATCCATGAGAAGTTGTGTTAGTGTATTTGATGTTTGATAAATGTTTGGATGAAACTTGGAAGAATTGAAGTGTATATATTGGACAGGTTTGGCGTTAAATATGGAGGGTTTTATTCCCAATTTTTGGTGGCTTAGAAAAGAGTTAGAAATATAGCCAAATTAGAGTTGTTTTGTGTACATAAGTTGTTTGATGAAATGTCAAAGAGAAGTACATGTATGAGTATGATTATGTGTTATATTGAGATGAGTTTGTAGATGGTAAAGAATGACATGTTTGCATTCTATATTGCATTATTGCATCTAAACATGTGAATTTAGAAAGAATTATAAGCATGAACTCATCTACATGCATACATACTCATAAGATCATGAAAAAACATTAAAGAACATTAATGAGTAAATTGAAAGAAATGAAAATATTAAAGAAGTTCAAATCTGAATTTTTATTTAAAGAAGTGTAACAAGATAAAAAGAAGAAAAGGTTGTTGCGATCGGGAACCCGTGAGTGACAAGAAGAATTTTCCCTGCATGCACGTCGCTTTTAGTGAGCGCCTAAGAATAAGAAAGAAGAATTGGTACAGTCCTTAAGGGTGTATGTGGATGAGGGTTATACCCAAGAAAGAAGAATACACTCACACAACCAAGGTTCCAAATCCATGCTTCAACCGAGTCCGATCGGCAAAAGAATAAGAAAGAAAATAAAAGAAAAGAGTGAGAAAGAATAGAAAAGAATAAGAAAGAATAGAAAGAAAACAAATAAGAGAAAGAAAGAAGCACAAAAAAGAAAGAAAAACAGAATAAGAACAGAAAAGAAAGAAAAATAGAAAAGAAAATGCATATTTTATACATTTGTGCATTTGCAATATATATATATATATATATAATATCATGCCCATTATCTGAGTAGTGGGAAATTAGAATAGAGAAAGAACATAGAGAGAAAGAATAAAGAAAGAACAGAGAGAAAAATAGAGTAAGAGTAGAGAAAGAATAAAGAAGAATGGGGAAGTGTGAAGTAAGGAAAGAAATTCAAAATTTAAGCAACGGAGACAGAAGGGTAGCATAACGGGTTTACTTACTGAGCAATTAGTACTCACCCGGTTGCTTTCAATGTTTTTGCAGGTAACAAGTGAGATGCGGTCACTTGGAACATCATGCAGCGGAAGGGTTGGGCAAAACTATCGAGTTACTATCTTGAGACTTTATTATATTATGTGAAGATTTGTGTATAAAGAAAATTAAATATGGGCCCATAATTTTATATTCGTTTATATGTATATATTTTCTTATATATATTTAGTGAGTTTTATTGTTATTTTACGAGTATACTAGCTAGAAAGAGAGTCATTACAATTAACTAATAGGGGATTTGCATTTGGAATGTGTTTATTAGGTTTCAAACCTATAGGAATTGATGTGTAATTTTTTAGGGATGTGCGTGCTGGATTTAAAATCTCTAGACATGCTAACATCACCTGTCTGACCCGTCATTCAAACCGATTCAACCGATCAACTTAGGACCCAACCACTTTGTTGGGTTTCACACTGGGTCAGTTATTAAAACTATGTCGAATAGTTAATAGATGAGTTTATAGTGTGATTTAGCCATTTTTAGCTCTAAGGGTCCGCTTGAGAGTTTCATGGTAGTGGTTATGAGGGTAAACCACCGTAGCGATTTTAAGGGTAAACCAACATAGCGGTTTTGAGAGGTTTTTAGTAGCGGTTTTTAAAACATCCAATCTGTACTTGGGAGTTTATTTTCCAATGGTTTTGACAATTTTTTAAAATGATAAATTTACATATATGCCTATAAAAATACATCAACTTCAACAAATACTTGGGAGTTTTGTTTTTCAATTACAAATAAGGGTTCTTTATTATTTTTCCACTTATTAGTATTTTGTAACTTCAAATTTGATAAAGCCTCCTTATCCTCCTTCTTTGCCATTCCTTTCAGCATCTAGAATGATTGAAAAATTGTAGCTCCACTTTTCCAAGAAAGCATCTAGAAATGAGATTTTAATAATTGCTTAAAATGATTTTATATTTAATATGGATGGAGACGCGCATAATATAGTTAATTGTTTTTTTTTTTTTTTTGGATATAATTGAGATAGTTTTGTAGTGGATAGGGTATTTGTAAAATAAAATTTTAAAACCAACCAAAACACCCTAATTTGGGGTTGTTGTGTGTGGTTTCTTCGCCAAGCTCAAGACAATGCGAGGATGTAGCTCGAGCCATAATGATCTCGACAACTATGATTGATCGACCCAGCACAAGCTAGTCGCGGACAATCTGAGGAATTAATCAATCAATCCCCAAATTACTTCAGATCTCGGATATCGCGGGAATGACTGGATCCACAGTTGTCGTTGCGCGATCATAGCGTCCAATCGCAAGGATATCGAAATTATGATTCAAACCATTTGTAATCCCCTTAATTTTGGTCTTCCCTTTATGTAAATCTTGTATATAAGCCCCCTAAAACGATGAGGAGGGGGATACGAATTCTAGATAAAAACTACATTGTTAGCTCTCACAACATATACAAAAAACACAGTGGACGTAGGCTGTTAACTTCGTCGAACCACTTTAAAAGTTCTCTTTGTCATTTACTTTATAGCGTTATCATTCACTCATCGCTGATTACCCATAATCACGAACACATTAGTTTCGAATCCGACAAGGTCGATTGGATCCCGCTGGTTGGTGCAAAATTTTGTATCAATATTTTAGCACTAGAAGGAGGCCCCCCGCCACAATTTCAAAGATTCTGGAAAACGTTCACTGCGATTTACCTGTCCCAAGACCAAAATGGTGTTCACCAGATCAAGAACTACCATCGGAAATCACGAGAACATAGAAACCGCCCACCAGGAGGTGCAACAGGAGAATGTTAGACGTTGACCACCTGTGCCACCAGCTTAGCACGTCGCAAACAATCAGTGGGTAGGGACATCAAATCCCGAGAACGGCCAATTGATGGAGATGATCAGAACAATGGTTGCATAAGCGGTGCAACAGAACATGGCTAAATTGAGGAACCAACAACCAGTCGCCTAGAACTCCACCCAACCGCGCTTTACCAGTGTTACCCCAATAGGTATGAATTCTGCAGGTTGAGAGTCCGTTTCATCGTCGCCAAGGGGCGATCAACACCTCCAACCTCACAGGCAGCTCCTCATGCATGAGTGAAAGTCTTGCAAGCAAACAAACCCCAAGAGGCGGCTAGGGAAGCAACCGTTGAGGGAAAGTGAAGGCGACAGACACCACCGAGAAGCTCAGTGGTATCCCTAGCATCAACGTGCCGGTGTGAACCCACGCTTAAGACAAGATCGATCTTCGCAGGCTCGCAAAGCGAGCCATGTGCGTCAATCTGCCAATGACCGACATTTCAGTTATGACCGACTTCATGAGCAACGCACCAACGAGCATGATAATACCTACCAACCTAGCCATCATGACTCGACCTCATGTATCAACGCGTGCATCGGAGGAGCTTCACAAACGACAGACTTGTGAACCCATTTGCTCGAGGTACAACTTAATAGAGCTAACTAGGGGAACCAAAATGAAGACTTGGATCTCATGCAAAGGATACTCGACGATCTAAAAGCTCGCTAGAACAACCTAGCAGAAGAAATAGTAAGTTCCCTCTTTAGGAGGAAGTTCGCCAGGCCTCGCTTCCACAAGGATTCAAGGCACCATAAAGCAAGTTCGACTAGAAGGGGGACCCCAGAGATCACCTCGACAACTTTCATGACCTGATGGAGCTACACCAAGTTAGTGACTTAGTAAAATGTCGGTGCTTCATAGTCATATTAGTTGGAGATGCCAAGAGGTGGTACAAACAGCTCAAGGCGAACTCCATAAACTCCTGGCAACAATTCTCCACACTATATCTACAACAGTTTCA